GATTTTAGCATCAGTCACAGAGATACTGTGAAGTCCTTATCCGTAAATTGATAAATTATAATTGGTCACAATCTGAAGAGATCAATTTAAGAACAGTGTGTCACTGTTAGCACTGTATATGTAGTCCTGTGAATTGATTCATGGGAAGGATGTGGTGGGGGCAGCGGTAATTTTATTAGAAATCTGGGGTTTTTTTTAGCAGGTCTCTCCTTGATCCTGGTGTGAGACGCTTCTGTAAAGACGAGGCACTGAGGCTGATCTTGGACCATCTTTCCTTAAGCCCCCATCCCCTTCAACTCTTCACTTTCGTTGCTACGAACTGCCCCGCACACAAACGAAAAGCTGGTGCTGACCCTGCAGACTGGGGGAGTGTTGTCCTCTGGGTGGCTTTTCCCACCACTGCGCTCGCTGTGTGATCAGAAAGCCCCGTTGTTCTGTTGCTGCAGCGGGCACTAACAAGAAAGCATTTAAGAGAACATTAAACATCAGCTACTTTAAAAACATTTAATTATTTCTCAGCTAAATTTATAAAACTACAGGGAAGAAAATCTGAAATGAGTAATGGCTTAAAAATTTCCTTTCTAACAGTGACAAGAGTATTCTTTAACAAGATTGTTCCACTGAAATAGAAGGATCTCACAGCAAGTGAAAGATGTATTAATTTTAGTCCTCTTGACCTATTTGGGCCCCGACATCTAGAATTTCCCAGGCTCATCAAGACTAAGAGGAAGCACAAAGATCTGGTTTTATCTAAAAAGGGAAGGAAAGACTTGTAACCTTGTGCTAACTCTTCACTGACCTCAGCAGCCTTTCAAGTACAGTGAGTGGGAGGCCAGCTTGCCCTTCCCACGTGAGCCAGGTGGGGGCACTCTCTCTCAAAGTGGCAGGACGGCGACCAACCCAGCATCCAGGCGCGATCAGCCGCGGGCTATCTCTAGCGGAAGAGGCCTGCCAGCACCGGTGGGCATCCCTCCCTCTCCCTGAACTGGGTCTGTTCTCAAATAATATCTGTATGAGAGTATCGAATTCAGAGTATTTGGAAAGGACTGTAAGGCAGGAGGAGAAAGGATAATTGTGATTTTTCCCCCCATCATACATATAGCGAGAGTCCTGGAAATGTTCAGGTGCCGTTCCACCAGCTGCTGTGTGTGTGTTCTGTGTGGGCACACGGTCAGGAAACAAAGCCACTATTGAGTTATATAAATGCAGAACAGGGATGCGAATGAATGCTGGCCTTCTGGAAATGCTATTTTTTCACTTTGGGATAACTCCAATAACCAAGTAGAATTTTCTGATGCACTTGCCAAATAAAAGAGCTGAGGTTGAGAACGAGCATGAGAAATTTTAGCTCAACATACATTTTGGAGAGCAGGGTAAGAAATGCAGGCTCTCAGTACAAATATAAATGTTACATTTTTGACTTTCCCTGTAGAATCATGTTGTCATTTCCTCATAGAAGTATAAACATTTTCACATTCACCATAAACATAAATCATTGGCATTACTTGTTTACCCTGAAGAGAGTTAAATCTTCAGGCCCCAACTACTGCTGTCTCCTTTTCTCCCATCTTTCTGTAACACCTCCTCCTCTTTGCAGTAAGAAAATCAAAGCAGCTACAGAATGAGACTGTATTTGAAGTTTCTCTGTATTAAGTGCATATGAAAGCCAAACTCTTAAGGCAGAAAGTAGTGTGGTCTCTTGTTACATGTGGGTCTATGCCCTTCTTTAACCCTTACTTAATTTCTCTTCTTTGTACTCCACTTCTGGTCCTCCCCCACCGGAGTCCCTTCCAGTTATTCCAGAAGAACTAGTAAGATCTTGGGAAGACGTCTTAGTGGAAGGGGATGCATGCTTTATGGTACCCGGATACATGTATTGATCTTTTATCAAAACACATAGTCCAGCCCTGGCTGGTGTAGCTCAGTGGATTGAGCGTGGGCTGTGAACCAAAGGGTCGCTAGTTTGATTCCTAGTCAGGGCACATGCCTGGGTTGCAGGCCAGGTCCCCAGTGGGGGCTATGTGAGAGGCAACCACACATTGATGTTTCTCTCTCTCTCTTTCTCCCTCCCTTCCCCTCTCTCTAAAAATAAATAAAATTTAAAACAATTTAAAAACACATGGCCCAAAGGAGGGATGAGCCAGTGTTCCAAGGCCCCAGTCTCTGACCCCACCATCACTGCCCCACACATGTTCCTCTCTTGATCCCGGCATCCTAGTGAGGATGCCAGCCATGCGGTTAGCCCTTATTCCTCTGAGTGTGTATATCAGTGACCAGATTAGACTGGTGATGTTAACCTGAGGACCATGGGGACTCGGCCTCCCTGCATCACATTGTCCCAGGACCTAGGATGCCAGGTCTCACTGGCCCGTTTCACACCATGTAGAGATGGCATTGCCAGTACATATGTCAGATTGATGATATATGTACGGGGTGCCTGGGTTTCTATCATCTCCTTTTCTCACATTTAAAAGAGCGTATTAACTTTGAATGTGTTGCCGTGTTTAGCAAATCTTTCACAAAGTCTTGGCACTTTATTATTAGTGACTGTTCTTTATCTGCTGTAAACCCACCGTGGTTGCAACCCCCTGGCTGGAGGCACCTGATGTAACTGTGGCTCTTTATCCTGAACCACCGACAGCACTTCATTTTCTACATTGTTGGTGGGAATTGTCTTTCAAACGTGTTAAGCAGCCAGAGATAGAAAGATAAACAGGGCTCAGTCCTGCCCCTTAAAGGCAGACTCTAGTCGGTGGGGTCAACACACGTAAAAGTAACCATTCCACAGGATGTGCTATAAGTGGTGCAAGGAACAGACTGCCATGAGACTTGAGGTCCTCATTCGTCTGTAGATTCAGGCACATGACATTGGAATCAGGCCTTGGATGAGTAGGACGTACGAGTGGAAAAGGGAGGGAAGGTATTCCAGGCAGAAAGGACAAGCTGAGTAAAAGTATGAATTTGGAGTGCACGCCTGAGAAATAGTCACACAGAATGTGTCCAGAATGCAGGGCGCATGGAGGCAGGTAAAGAACATGCAGATTAGGGTGGTTGTGAGGCTGAGCGTGGACCAGATGGTCCAAGGCCTGGGAGAGGGTGCTGGGGATTTGGTTTTCTGTCCTGCGGGCAGAGGGGAACTGTGGAGAGGGGTTAGCAGTCAGGTACTCGGGATGGTAGGGGACGTTGGAAGTATGGGGTGGGCAAAGCACAGGAGTCAGAAGGCCAGTTAGAGCACTGTTACACCGAGCCAGGGCGAAGATTGGGGAGCCAAGAGGATGGTCAGCGGGCTGCAGACCAGTTATCTTCTTTGTGTTTTCTAGATGCACACCCAGGTGCCTGAGCACACGATTTTGTGATCAATAAATAGTTGAACTTAATTAGACCAATTAACTGGAGGATGAGGAAAGTGGGGAGGCTGTCAATATATTTAACTTGGAACAACAAATATAAGAGGGGCAGGTTTAGGGCATCAGGGGTGAGACATGGAGAAAACAGTGGTCAGTTTTTCGGAGGTTTGTTAGGACTTGCTGGTGAGGGTGTCCCACTGAGATGTCTAGAAGACAGATGGAGGCAACAGGTTTGTCGCTGAGAACTCAAGCTCCCAAGTCAGTTCTGCCTTCCGGCCTGCATGGATTTGTAAGTCACTCTTTTTAGTAGCTATCCTTATTCTTTTTCCGTTACAAAAGCTCATTGTGATCCTGTTATCGCTTCTGCCAAATCGCTGTACCTGAAACCCCATTCTTCCTGCAGCAAAAGGTTTGCCTCTTCGCTGTAGGAACCTGGCGCAGTTTGGTGAAGCAGGTTCTAGCCCCAGGCTTCAGAACTGTGGTTCGAGTGCAAGCAGCCCTTTTGTGCAAGATTGTCTGACCGTGCAGATCTGCTGCAAACTGTCCTGTTACGAAAAGAAAGCCCGGGCTTCTCTAGAGGACGGCAGTAGTTCAGCACAGCGTGGTGGGCTTAGAATCAAAAAGCCTAGCTCAGTGAACGGCGCCTTCACTTCACTTCCTCAGCTGCAAAGGGAAAGGCCTTGCCCTGCTGCAGGAGTCGAATGTTTCACGCCAGCCTCCGCTTCAGGAATAAAAGAATAAAAGATCATTGTTGCTAAGGTTTAGTTCATATCTAGTAACAGTTGTTAGCATCGTGTCGATATTCCAGTGGTTCCCTTGTTGACAACTAGAGTAGATAGAGGTGGTAAGAGGAAAAAATTTATCTGCCCTGAGTACAAAGCTCCAGTTTCTGTCTGGAGAGCTAGTCAGCAGGGTGGAGAATCCATGGCTTTAGAAATAAATGTGGGTGTTTATGAGGCGCACACCAAAATTTATTCATTCCACTTAATTTTTTTCGTGGAAGTTTTTATATGGTGATAGAACTGTCAACCAAATTCATAAATACTAACTAGCAAAATCTGAATATTCATTCCCAACTCCTAAACTAGGACACAAAGAAGCACACAAAGAGTGTACCAGGTTCACTGTGGTCATGTACTCTAGCAGAACTGGAGTGAAAAGTGGGATTAATTGCTGTGTTAATGTCACTGGGGTTCAGCTGTGCTTTACGCTGCCATACTAGGGGACTGCATTGCAGTTCAGCCCATTGGATTGTCAGTTTTGGGGAGCATACATGTTTTCCCCCTGTTATTTTTGACACCCCCACCCCCGCCCCCTTCAAGGCAGTGTTCCAGCTGTTCCCTTAGGGAGTAGTTTCATGGGGAAGTTCCTTTTGTTGGCTTCCAGCTGGCCTCATTTTCACTATCTGCGTGAAGTCGCTGCCTGTCGCATTTATGATATCCATCACGCCTGCCTTGGGACTTTTCCCTTTGAATTATTGACTTTATATTTTTGGTTTGTACATGCAGGCTGTCTCCTGGTTCCGACATCTACGTGACGGTCTCATCCATGGCTTTAGCAAGATCCCAGCAGTGTCGTAATTCCCCCAGCAACCTGTCTTCGTCCAGTGAGACTGGCTCTGGGGGAGGCACGTACAGGCAGAAATCCATGCCCGAAGGGTAGGTATGCTCTTTGCCCTACTGCACGTGGTCCCAGCCGACATCGCTGTCATTCATCTGTAATTCTGACGTGCAAAATGATTTCCTTTGGCCAGCCTTCATCAATTTACAAAAGAACAAAAGGGAAAACATGGTTAATATTTCAGATAGAAAAATGTTTTAGTGGCTGGTTCAAGCCATTTCTTGGGATGTATATCATTCTTTGGTCTCTGAGGACTCAGTGACAGAGAAATCAAATTACATCTGCTCTTCCATGATGTATCTTGTCTATTTTCATAGTACAGGTTTTGTGATTTCCTAATATTCCCTCCAAAGTGAACTCAGCAGAACTCAGCTTGCACTCATTGGAGTTTGTTTTGCTGTTAAAGTAGGGGAAATGATCGTCATACCCAAAGCTTAAAAAAATTTTTTTCACACCTCAAAAGTCTTCTGTGATTTCATGGGTAGGTTTTTGGTTTTGCTTTTCATGTTTTTGAAAATACTAAGTACCCCAAAGTTTAACTATTTGCTTCTGATAAGACAAAGCAAAAAGCTAAATGTACATGATTTTTGAAGCTACTAAAAAGGAAAAAAAAGTAGGAATCTCTGAAGTTGGGAAGGAATTAGCAGCAAAACAGTGCATGGCATGCATGTGCCCCGGCCTCTGCCCAGAGCAGGAGCAAGGGACCCTCGGGGACCCCTGCTGGGCTGTCCCTCTGGGAGGACTTGGAACTGTCTGAAGGTTGCATGTGAGAAGTTTATAAAAACTGATGTTTCCAATCTAAGTTGTCCTCAAATACGTGTTTTAACAAATGCACACATGATTTGTTTATTTTCTTGAGATTTTACCATGTTACAGAATAATCATGCTTCCAAGAACACCTTCCTAGTGGGTATTTTTATCCTGTAGTGATTTGTGGGTCTTCGCAGCTGTCGAGTTTGATTTCTTTTTTGTTGTGAAATGTTTGTTAGCAGAAAGTAGATCATAAAACCACCATAACATACACTCTCCTCCCACCTCCTGTCCTCAACATCCCCTCCAGGATTCCCTTGGTAGCACATCTAAAATACACATCTTATTTTAATTACTTTAGTGACAGAAAAAAAATCAGCTCTTATTCATGATTTCCTGGGAAAGGTTTTATGAGTTAAGTATTATTATATCACACCGCAAACCCAACTAATTATATATTTTTAATTCGTAGATTTTAAATGGCCTAATTTGACTTTAAAAGTAAAAATTCACTGCAACTTCAGTGTTGTACAGCAATAAAATATAAATGAGCCAGCACCAATCATGAAAAAGCATTGTTTTCTTCTGACTGTGATATACTTTTAATGTATACCAAAAATGTCTGTGGAAGCATTAACATTTGGTGAACGTTTATATTAGAAACATGGTTCCCGTGCCCATTTTGCAGTTTTTTAGTGAGACGGTGATTATTCAGCTTGATGTGCGATAGAGCCCAGCACAGGAGGTTGTGGGGAGGGCTGTCCCCACCGCATGAGCTCACCCAGCGACCGCTTACCAGGCCGTGTAGCGCCCTTTTCCATGTGGGTGATACACGCGACGGCCGTGATGCTGGGGCAGCAGGAAACTTCCCTCCAACCTTCAAGGTTCTTTCTCTGGTTCAATGATTAAATCTGCAGGCAATAGATCAACAAGAGAAAATAACCACATTTAATTATGTACATCCATATGAGAACCCCAAATATGTGAGAGATTCGGAGACAGGGAAACTGAGGTATGTACGACATTCTGAGCTAAGGAGGACTTAAGGCACCTTGGAGCTTCAGAAGGAGGAAGGCCGTTCCCTGGATGATGAGAGCAGGTGCTGAGTATTAGTAGTTTGTCCTGTCCAATAGGCAGGTCATAAAAGCTTGTCAGTAATAATATCTTAGGGAAAAGCCCCTAATTTAAGTTCTAGATAGTTAAGAAGGGGGCTTAAGTTTCTTTTGGGTCCAAAGGGTCTTGGTTCCCTTTAGCTCCACATAAAAATAATCTACAAACCACAGAGGCACATCTTGGGGTCACTCATTCTGAACCCCTACAATGCAGTGTTTCTGCTACATCCCAAGCACTGTTTGCCTGTATCAGTGATGCATGAGGAATTAGTTCACTGTCTGATTCACATGTTACTCATGGGCCCAGTTTAATTCTAAAGTCCCCCATACCGAGGAGAAAGCAATTGCATCTGCTCCACAACTCAGCCCAGTAAAAATAGGTGTGTGCAGGTGGACAGTGTGTGCAGTCTGCTACAAACTCACTAATGTGACACTTTCAAAAGCTTAACAGTGTGAGGTCATGGCAATAGGCCAGTATACAGTCGTTGTCCATACATGTGACCTGCTTCTATTTGTGGTCCTCTCTCCAATTCAGTGGGCTCGGTGTCTGCACGTGGAGGTTGTATGCCTGCCCACTCCCTGGTCTGAGGACCCTGGGACCCTCCAAATCATCCGAGAGGCGAAATCCTCCACTTGAGTAGGCGTGAGACATGGCACCTGCATGCGTTTAGGTCGGGAATGAGCAGTAGTTCAAAGCAACTTTGTTGGAAAGACTTAGTTGGGGTCTGTCCTGCCTTGGAGTCTCATATCTGTGGGCCTCGCACTTTGAAGAATGCCAGCAGGGTGGGGCGGGGCCGGAGGGAGAGATGGGCTGGGCTAAATGAGGAGTTTGGAGGCCGTGGTGTGAGGAACATAACTAAGGACCTATACGCTGGAGAAGAGAGTTGTGGGGCGAGGAGGCCCTCCTAGGTGAAGGGTTAAACGTGTCTGTGAGGCACCCGACACCTATAAGTGCCAGTGATAGAGAAGTTTCCAGCCCTTTATGAGGGAGCTATTTCAAAGCCGTCAGCCTGCTCCAGAGAGCAGTGGACTGGCTCCTGAGGGAGGGACTTCCTGGTCCCCTAATGTGTCACGTATCAGCCAAGGGATGGCTTAAAAACTCCTTCAAATCTGAGTGGTGGCTCTTAACCTGTATTAGGTGTCCCTCCTAACAAAGGTACCACGGACCTCTTCAAAACAAGGTCCAGTGGAGCATTTGAACAGGTTTCATCTGAGCTCCTCCAGAATGGGATCTTGGTCACCTGAAGACCCTGGCACGCAGTAAATGAGTGTGAGGACTGACGTTAAAGGTCCATGTGGCGAGAATATTTAAGCAGAATTAAAGACAGCTGTACTTTATCGTGTATTTAAAACCACACAGCCAGAAAAGGCCCCGGCTGTAAATCCAGAGGTTTGAAGAATTGTGTTTCATTTCAATGCCAGAATTCAATCCTAATTTTTCTCTCCATGCCTTTTTGGAAAAGTCTTAATTTAGTGCAAAGGTAGAATAGAATCATTTGGCCATTCTGAGGCTATTCACTGCCCTAAACTAAACAAGGACCCTGCTTAGGGAGGAGGTGGCAAAAGCCATAATTAGTGTGAAAATCCTTTTTTTTTGGGGGGGGGGGGGGGGAGATGCGCAGTCATTGAGGTTTTCATAAATCAAGGTTTTGTTTTTAATAATGGAGGTAACTGCTTAGTGGGGCTTGTGATTGCGTTTGTAAGCGATTGTCATTTATGCAAAAGTAACGAGGGAGATGGTATTGGAGCAGTTGGATGAAAATGTGTTCCAGCCTCTTTGCAAATACTTTCATACAGATTCTTCTCCCTGGATTCGTATAGTGGGATTGTCATTTTACAGTTAAGGGCACGAAGGTGGCACTCAAGCGATTTGGAGCAGCTTCCAGTCTTCCTCTCCCCGACCCCCCGCGCCTTCCAGCACTGTGGCGCGGTGGTCCTGTGCGCTCTCGGTCTGTGGCGAATAAGACTTTGGTCCCGGGCACTGACCCGTTCAAGGCCCGTTTATGTGTTTTTAATGTGCAGACTACTTTAATAGGTTCATTAGTAGCCATGCACAAATTTGTAAATTTCCACCAGAATATTTGAATTTATACTCTGGTCATTTTTCCTGGTCTCAGTCAGGATTTACTGGGCTGATATTGGTGATCAAGGCACATGCTTTAATTAAGTATATATTGTATTATTATTCTACACAGAGAAAAATAAAACTGGCTCTTTAAATAGCTAAGTATTCTTTCCAGAAATAGACATTTGCCTTTATGTATGCCAGCTTACCTACTACTAAGATATCCTTCCAAAAGGCACCTTTAAAATTTATACATTTTGCAAATGGTCTCTAAGTAATGTAAAGGATAGCAATCTTTGTCTTTCAGACCTTAGAGTGCTTAGAAAATACTTGTTCCAGGAATGAGTAATTTAGCAGACTCAGTGACTTGGAGATTTAGCAGATTACTGAGTCGAGAGAAACTCCTGGAATGTCCCAACCAGAAGTCTGACATGGCACACTAGGATGGTGAAATTTTAACTTTGGCTCCAAGTGACAGTCTGAGGCTGGCTACACAAGGTTAGAAAAATTGGGCTCTTACTCTGTAAGTCTTAGGTTAGCTGGGTCCTGATGGCTCCCGGCCTTGTTTCCAGTCTGCAGACTTACCCTGCATACCTTTCCGAGTGGAGCGCTGGAGTTAACTCCAGCAAACACCGTGCCGGCAGCCATGTCCGTAGGCACGAGGGTGAACACACAAGTCTAGACATGCAAACGAAACGAGTAGTTCCTGCCTTTAGAGTGTTCACGACGCCCAGGACTACCTTCCTGTCCCGGGTGAGGTTTCTGATGTCATCTTCGCCTTTGTCTGGGGACATCACCACAGGTTCGGAGTGAGCCGCAGATCCCCGGCCTCCATCGACAGGCAGAGCACTCAGTCAGATCTTGGCGGCAGTGGAAAATCCACACCCAGCTGGCAAAGAAGTGAGGATAGCATTGCCGACCAGATGGGTAAGTAACTCAATTTCTGCAAAATGCAGCTTGCCTTTACACCAAGGTGACTTTGGCTCCCTCTTGATGATGTCATCAGAGCAATCTGTTATATAATACAGCCCTGGTTAATAAATGTGAATGAGGATTAAGGCTTGGTTACATTATTTGTAAGTGAAAGCAACAAGAAAGACCTAAGAGAGAGGTCAAGGAGTTCTAAGTAACCCCAAATCTAAAAAGTAGAAATGACATAGGAATTATTTTCAGGACCAAAATTAAAATACCAGACTGTGAAACCACAGGTGTCCTAAATATCTCCCTTCCCCCTCATTTGTTTGTTTCTTTTTGCCTCTTGCAAGTGCCCTGAAAGATTTGTTAGTATTCATACTATGAGTTTAAAAAAAACTGCATACAAAGTAAGAAAGAGATACAATCACTGTTTAGTCACATATGTAGCTTGGTTAGGATCTCTTTCCTCCTCTGTGTGCTTTTTTTCCCTCCACTTGGCTATTAAGCTGTCAGCTAAGGACATGTCTTAGCAGGATAAAACAGCTGGGTGGGGAAGATTTTCACTGGTAAGCCTTCATCTGGGTGTCTGGTCCGTAGCCCTTTCTTTCCATATGTATGTAGTTTGCTCCAATGACACCGTAACATTAGTTGATACAATAAAATTTTGCCACGAAACATGATGAAGTTTCAACACAGCCTCAGAGACTGAGTAGCAACACAGCTGATACATCAGGGTCTGGAATCTACTGTTAGGTGTTTTTTTCCTTTATCTAATCTTTAGTAGCATTACCATCAGTGTGGGATTAAAAAGAAGTGAATTTCAGGTCTGAAGAAGATACTTTTAAAGACAAAGGACCATCGGGATTTTTTTTGTTTGTTTTTTTTTTCATCCTCACCTGAGGATATGTTTATTGATTTGAGAGAGATAGAGGAATATTGACATGATAGAGAAACATTGATCAGTTGCCTCTTGTACCCACACCCCGACCAGGGATGAACCTACAACCTTTTTAATGTACGGGATGACGCTCTGACCAACTGAGCCACCTGGCCAGGGCACGGCCCATCTTTTTATCCTCTCAGCAAATGCAGTGTCTCGTTTGGTTTTAATGACTGTGCCCAGGCAAAGGGACTAACTGTGAACATTGAAAGGACTGGAGCTGTATTGAGCTAAGACATACACGAGTTGAGGAAAAAAAATGCAAGGCCTAGGATCCGAAGACATGCTTTGTTCTGCTAACTTCAGTGAGATGGGCCTTGTTATTGGGGCCATCTGTCACTCCCCACTCTCACGCCACCCACCCACAGCACAGAAAACCTGAGCATATTCTGGTCTGCTGCTCTGCTCTTGACAGAATGTTTTCAGCCCCATATGTTTTGATCCTGTTGAGATGGCAACGACACACGTGCAGAGGATCCCTTCTTCATCATGACTTGAGAGCTTTTTTTGGCTGCTGGTGCAGGCTTTGGACCAAGCTGCCAGCAAGCCCTCTGCCCGGTGCGCAGTGGCACACTCCCTGCTCAGGTGAAGTCCTGTGAGGACTGAGGAGTGTCCTGGGGCCGGGAAGGGCGTGTCTAAGGCGTGTCCTAGACCCGTATGCATTAATCCTTTCACACAGACCTCCCTCTGGTCTTTCCTCCCTCCGCTTAGTGGCATCCCTTTCTGTGGGTAAAACTCTGCAGTTAACGTCACCTGTTCATCGTGTTAGTGAGATACACCTTTACCTTTTTTGTTTTTTATTGTTTGCAAGACACCTGTAGAGTCTGCCAGACAAGGCTTTGCACCAGTTGGTGGCCTTTCTCTATCCAAAATATGAGGCTTGAAATAAAATGTTAAAATAAAATAAATCTGTAAGTTTTCACATTCCAGAAGAATAACCCAGCCTTTCCTAATTGGCACATTAGAAGGAATCTCTGGGGCTTAGTTGGTATAAGCCATGCTAGGGAGAAATCAATGAAAATAATTATGTTCTCATTACACTATATTGAGTGTGTAAAGGTCAGGCCTTTAAACATTCAGTTTGTAAGAGCAAAATTAATGCCTTTCAGGTCACTCATTGAGAATGTCGAGGAGATTCTTATTTGTTAGCCAGACTCCTGCCTTGTCCACAAATGTGTTATCAGCTGGTGCCCCAGGGGAGACGAGGAGTTTAACTTGCTTAATTAACTCCCTCATATCAGTGGATGTTCATTTTCTGCCTTTCTGCTTTTGGAAATGGTTGAAAATCAGAGTAAAAGAGCACATTGCCCAGTCTATTATGTGTTAGGGATGGTGCTGCAGAAAGCCACGGTCGTTGCGGTGTTGGCTAGAGGTGTGTTAAAGAAGTGAAATCGCTTAGCTTTCACCTTTGGAGCCCCATCGTGAGCACCAGCGAGGACTCCAAAAGGAAGCAATTGTTTTGAGTAAACTAGTTGCTGTGTGTCTTTTCTGTTGTGCTTAGCTTACAGTTATAGAGGACCTCAGGATTTCAATTCTTTTTTCCTCGAGCAGCATGAATATACAGGTAAAATATTTCCAAAGTGTCATGGTAAGTAACACGCGATTGCATCCATGCCTGTCTAGGTAACGTAGACCAAGCTAGGTTAGCTATACTTTGCAATGAATGAACATCATAAATTCAGTCCCTGTACTTTAGATGTGTCCCCCAAACCAAAAGCTGATTCCTAACTCTGCCGCATCGTTCATGGCCTTTGGTTTGGTGGTATTTGGCTGTGCTAATGTGCGTGACATGACACATGGTCACCAGCTACAAGCTTTACCCATCAGCCACTTAGTTTCTGACATGCTGTCTATTGTGTGAACTCTCAGTAAGCTTATTGCTGAAATTCAGAGTTTGCTGGTCAGTCAACTAAGAGATGCAGTGGCAAGCTGTCTTCATCTGTTGACCTGTGCTCGGGTGTGTTCGGTGCCCGCACCATAATGCCCTGTGCTGTATTCCAGAGCCAGCGTGCCACCTCCCTGCGGTATCGAAGGTGCTGCCAGCCTTCCGCGAGAGCCCCACTGGGAGACTGATGCGGCAGGATCCGGTGGTTCATTTGTCTCCGAACAAACAAGGGCATGTGAGTTCACTGTAAGATAATAGAAGTGATAGATTCCTCGCAGTGTCAGAACGGTACAGCTCTGTGGTGCTCTTCTCCTCGTGGTCGGAGGGGACGTCATCTGGCAGGAGGAGGACGTGTGCTGTCGTGGCACTGGAGTTTCTGCTGCCTCTTTGGTCTGCCACCCCCGCCTTCTGGATGGAAGGCCATGGGATCCCATCACAAGTAATCCTAAAGCGTTAGGAGCAGAAATGGTTTAGAACAGATTTTATTTGCTCACACAATTGCAAGCATGAACTATGGTTGGAGCATCCGTCCAGTGGACAGGCAGAGCCCTGTTGACTCCCCCACTGCTTCTCTTATCTTCCCTCGCTGCACACATTTTTGTCCTTGTACTGTAGTTACACACAAGCCCTTATCCCCTGAGATTCAGGAATATAAGATTATCATCTCCTCCACCGTTAAAGGAAGTTGATTTCTTGGTCTCTGCTCACTGGAATATGTTTATATTCATGTCGACCTATAGAATGAGGAAACACTGTATTTCATATTTACTTATAAGTTGCTCAGAGAACTTTTAATGAGAGGGCTCTTGTAAGGTTTGCTGTAGTGAAATGAATATTGAAGCTAAAAAACAAGAGAGAGCACGAGCGAGTTACAGAGACAGAGCAGCCCCTGTGTGTGGGAGCGCCCTGCACAGGCTGGGCAGAGATTCGCCGATGCAGCGTGGTGTTTTCACAGTGCTGCTAGCAATCGAAACATTGCCCCAGTCAGTCTGTCCATTTCCTCACCTCATTAATAATCTTTATATTGATTACATGGTAAAATAATTTTTTGGATAGGTTGAGTTAGAGAAAATATCTTCTTAAAATTAATTTCACCTGTTTCTCTTTACTTTTTAAAATTTGGCCACTAGAAAATTTAAAATTACAAAGCTGGTTCAGGTCATATTTCTGCAGGAAAGAAATGTGCTTAAACCCTCTCACACATTTCAACGCGGACCTGCTGCCTGCGAGGTGCTCCATGGCTACACGTGGCTGGGGCCTGTCCAGACACGGGACCGAGGCAGCTCTGCCCAAATAAAACAGACAAAAGGCCTGTAATGCAGAAGCTACTGAGGGAAAACTGGAGTTGCCTCGGTGGTGCAACTGGGATTGATTCTTGTTTAAAGAGAAGAGATCTTTATTTTTCCACTTTGGGGTGGAGCTTGGGGATCCTCCTCCTTCCTCCACCCACAGTGCATGCGCCCCCCTCTCTCTTTCTCTCTCTCTCCCCCCTTTCCTCCCCTTTCCGCCCCTCCTCCCTCCCTCCCTTCCCTCCCTCATTCCCTTCTGCCTCTCCTAGTTTCTCTTAATCCCTACTCTGTATTGGGACTTTCTGCTGCCATCTAATTTATTCAGATAGCTTCAGAAATCTTATTTCTTTGGTAAACTATAAAATGTTCTTTCTAAGTAACTTAAGGCATTGTATAGAAAGGGTCATGTACTCATTTTACTAATCGAGATACAATTCACATACCATAGTATTCACTCATTTAAAGTGTACAGTTTAGTGGTTTTTAATATCACAGAGTTGTGCGACGAGCACCAAGACCCAACTCTGGAGACTCGTATCACCCCCCAAAACCCTGCATCCTTAGTCAGTCCCCGGCCTCTTCCCATCTCCTCCAAGGTCTTGACAACCATTAGTCTGTTTTCTGTCTCTGTCGAAGTGCCTGTTCTGGACATTTCACCTGAGTGGAGTAGAACACATGGCCTTTAATGTCTGGCTTCTTTCATGTAGTTCCACATAATGTTTCCAAGGTTCCTGCGTGTTGTGATGTGTGTCAGCTCTTCATTTCTTTGTGCAACTGAA